AGTAAATCCTCTTCCCTTTATCACAACAGTAGTTATCGCAACCATTGAAATTGCCAACACAGATCAGAGAATCAAAGAGTTCAAACACAAAGAACAGAAAACACAAACTGCAGATATTGGTCCATAGGGGGAGTAGAAAAATGTTGTTGAATGTTGAGTGCTGAACAACACTTCACAGTTTACAACTTGATTCATATTCTGATCATTTTGAGGATGATTTTTGCTCACTTGTTCCTTGCATTCATAATATTTCAGCATCTTACCTTGCAGCTCCTCCATCCAGCGGTGCTTGCATTACGTCCGGTCATGGGACGGTGACTCAGGACATAAATGTGATTAAATCCATTGGTTCTTGTCTCTCTCGCTCTGAAACATTGTCCCCTGGGTAATGTAGCGTGAGCACTTGTACGGAGGCTGTTTTTGTGGATGTCAACATCTGAATCCAGGGGAAATGACTGTGACTTCTTATAATCCAACCATCTAAAAAACACATTTGTAGTTGGCTTTATCTTTCTAGCTGTTGTTTTTCCCAAATACATTTCAGGTTTGTAAAATATGTTTATGTATAATTTTTAATGGTTAATATATTGAATTGAACATGTCATTTTTAAAAGAAGCATTTCATTACATTCTTTTTATATCTTGTAAGTTTTTATCTTGTAGTAGTAGTAATCTTTATTTATATACCGCCTTTTCACTGCAGATCTGAGTCTCAAAGCGGTTTACAATTGTTAATTTATTTTGGGCATTTGTCTCTCACTCCACACAGAGATGGGAGCGGGGCCAGTACAGGAGGCGCATGCTAGAACTATTGGACATATTTTTAGTGGTAGGGGAAACCGGAGCACCCGGAGGAAACCTACGCAGACACAGGGAGAACATGCAAACTCCACTCAGAAAGGCCCGGGTCCGACCGGGATTCGAACCCAGGACCTTCTTGCTGAGAGGCGAGAGTGCTATCCACTCAGCCACCCGTGTTGTAATATTTTGTTCAATATTGTGACAATGCTACTCCATGGGAAATATATAACTTTTGAAATAAATGTTGAAAAGGAAAATGTCAATGTTTTCCCTGATTATTATTTGATAGTGATTAGATTCACAAACCCACAATCAAGTCCTCTCGCCTGGGCACCATCCTGCATGTGTTTCTGAATACTGTCACCTTTAAGATCCAATCATTAGACCAAAGTTAATGACAAAGAAGATGTTGAACCTTCGTTTTTGTTTCATGTTTATTGGCCCAGGAATTACAGATACATCTAAAAGCTTTTGAAAGTTGCCATAGCTACCAGAAAAGATTTTTAACAACCCTCCACCACAATGTTAAACTATAAATGTTGTATATATAATTGTTTCTTCATTTGTTTGTTTTATTTCTGTATTTTTAACCTTGTTTTATTTATGTACTTGTCTTGTGCACACTGGGGACTTTTGCAAATGCATTCCAATGTGGTTTTACTGCAAATGGCAAATAAAAGGAATCAGAATCATCCACAGGATCTTTGGAATGTTGTGATGTCACACGAACACACTTTATTATAGGTTTTATTTCCAAAAAAGATGCATACACAGATTGACTGCTATGGAACATCAAAAACAAAAGTAGGTAGACTCCCAACAGAAAAATAATCTATGTCACCTTCACACAGTAATACATGTACGCTCATTTTCATTTATACAATCTTCTTCTAAGCTCATTGGAGGTTTGTCATTATGAATATGTTGATGTTTCCTGTGAACAAACACCATTTAAAAAAAACAAAGCCCCGTCTTAACCCCCGCACCTTGTCCTAATTGTTTTTAACAGCCGTGAATCAGTGCATGTGGTTTGAGTCAGCGCTGTATAAACACTCGGCTGATTAAATGTTCACATGGGCAGAATTTAAAATGTAAATTCCACTAATAACAGCGCTGCTCCTCCAGTTTGTTTACACCTTTTATACAGAGCTTGAATTTTAAAACACCACAGAGTCGCTTTGTGTTTATAACCAAAGTGGATGTGGTTTTAGTGAACATTGTACATACAGAGAATGAGGATAATTACTGAGGCGATCCCAGAGGTCTCCCATCACCTTCCTCCCTGCTGGTGACAGACTGTACAACGAGAACTGCTTGTCATGGTGTGGATTTTATTTTTGTATTTTTGTTTTATTTTGAAATTGGTTTTGTTGTGGTTTGGTTTTTAGTTTTGCTTCCTGTCTTGTGTGTCTACAGTATGTACCCTGTGCTTCTCCCCCCTTGTTGCTAGTCCATTGCATTGTCAATGTCTTGTCCACGTCTGTTCCTGTTTCGTTGCTGCTTGTGCCTTTGGATTTTGAGTTTTAACCTGGACTTTTATTTTTTTATCATTAAATATTATTTTTTGGCATTCCTGCATTTTGAGTCCTCCATCACTTCATCTCGTGACACTGCTGTGTCTATACACGGGCCACTCAGCTGTTCTGATAATTCACTAGTCACTTTAACTGTTATTATTATTATTTCTACATATTCCATTCATCTGATATTTCTGTTCTGAACTTTACCTGTTATTGCTATTATCGCTATTGTTTATTCTGGTTATATTCTCAGCAGTTAAAGTACAAAATATTGTCAAACCAAGTGCAATTATAGCTCCAGAGTTTTATTTTTTATCTTATTCTATTATTATATTGTATTTAACATTATCTTAAATAAAAAAATCCTGGTTAATGTGTGCATTCTGAGTGCTCTTAATTTCCTCCTTTAATTTTGCTGTAATTCTGCCTTGCACCGATAACATTGAAATTTCCTCCTTGTGGGACGAATAATCTTATCTTACACTTACCAGGCCCTGCTCAGCTTCAGAGGTCTGAAGAGATAAATGTGCACTATGTTTATCCCCGTAGGGAACTTTGTCCTCTGCATTTGAGCCATCCTACAAATGCCACTAGGGCCTTTGTCTGGAGCAGTGGTCGCCGTTGTCCAGCGCCCGGGAATCCATATCCAGATGTTGATGTTGGGCTTGGTCAGGACTACCGGCGCTGGAGGATTTACGATTTACCCAGATCTGGCTTTCACATTCAGATGCGGCCACAACAAATTATCAAAAAGGGTTCCGAAAAGATAACCACAACAGAATAATGGTTGTACAGGTCATGTTTTATTCCATGTGCTTTACAAGGTTATAAATAATGGTCAAAATTACAAAAATCAGTGTGCTGGAAGCCCAAGCCTATGTACATGAGTTGGTCAGCAGTGATGTCAGCAAATCAACGTTCACCCAGAATACAATCTCTACAGTTGAACATTTCTATTGTATTTGCACGTCCGTTTATTTTGTACCGTCTTTCCAGTGAACTGCAAATAATTTCTTCTTTACATACACATATGAACAATGAGTTGGCAAAATATCTATGTACATATATAACTGGATAAGATCTCATCCAAATGATACAATAATACTGTGTTTAAAATAGTAATCTGCTAGGTAAGAGAAGAGCCCCATGAGAAACAATGGAGAATCACCCTGACAAAGTTAGAGCCAACAAACATTCACTCATTCACTTCAACCAGGACTGTCTCACAGATCTGCTTAAAAGACGGCCTCCGATCTCACGTCCAAAGTTTCTTTTCAGCGTGTCATAGAAAAATAATGTAACATTAAGACAACAGTAGACAATAATTGCACAAGAATAATCATAATCATCATTAATATAATACTCTCATATTAAACATTAAATGTCGGGCAATACCAATAGAACACTTTTTTAGATGCCTGATGCCTTTGTCCACGCCGGCTGTAAACACACTATGACACAGTTGGAGCATCTCAGCATTTTCTAGCTCTAATCAAATTACACTGACACTTTTGTGCATATATCTTTAGTATCTTCTGACCATGAAGGAAATAAAAGGCATTTCTCAGACCATGCCCGTTGCATGCCCAGTGGTGCTTGTAGTTAGCTCATTGTCTGCTACCATCGTCCTCAGAGTTCATATCTCAGTGCGACGTCTTACACTTCCACTGCGTTACATTCAGAGTGGACCGTTGTCCAGATGCTGTCCTGATAGTGTGTTACTGTGTGTAAAGTCAAACATTGTAGTCAACCTTAAACACTAGAGCTGCCTCCATGTTTGTAGTCCTTGAAAGTGACAAAAAGGGTCCATTGCAGTCTTTTGCATTGTGTGTGTGCCCAAGTCCGTGTTTACGGCTGGCTACATTCTTTGCATTCCACAGTAATAGACATGAGCATCCGGCACTGCCCTGCAAATGAGATGACATCACTTATCGACAGAGCCCTGACTCTCCACCGGACCCAACATGGCCAACATGCGTCTCACAAGTCACATGCCAAGCCTTTCACCAAGAGTCTAAGCTGTTATTATTAGAGAAAATCTGATGTAACCATCTTTAAAATGCAAGTTTGAACTATTTTATCTAAGGACAAAATAGCTATTGTTAAAAAAGGATCAAAAAACACTTTCTGAATAGTGTCTGGATGAACTGTTTAGTCAACCAGAGTCAAGATTGAATCGTGCTACATCACCTCTCCAAAAGACACTTCTCTCCTCTCTCTTTAAAAGGTAAAAAGTCTGAAATGTTTTCAGACAACTCCTCAGTCAGCTCTACTGGGCCCCTAAACATTGCCTAAAGCCTTGGTCCGAGCACAGTTTTAGGCCTGACCCACGTTCAGGACAGTTGGACAGAAGCTGGTGAGGAGAGACAAGAGTGAGGCGTGGAAGAATTCAAGGAGAGAGAGACAAAGCCAAAAAAGTTGCATCCCAAAAATGGGGGGGGAATCAGGCAAAGAAGAGCTGGCAGCAGAACAACCGTCTGATGACCACTGGCTGAGCAGCAAACTGAAGGTGCAAAAACATATCTGACCGGTTCCTAGAGGCGAGGCACCAGAGCCAGGGTCAGGGTCATGCCAGCCTGCAGGCGGGAGGGGGCAGCGAGAGAAAGACGGGAGAGACACAGCGCCAAACGTCATCATGCAGTGGACAGACTGGCCTATCGGGGCGGGGCCATTAGTTTTCTAGTTTGGCCGGTGGTGACGCGCAGGCGTCGCGCGGGCCACGCTCCAGGGCAGGCCCTGTACAGGGCCACCTCTGAAAGGCACACACACAGGGGTGGACAAGGCGGTGTATGTTAGAAAATAGTGGTCTCGTACTTGGTGTTGACTCCTCTCTTGGCCTCCTGACCCGGCTCCACTATCCACGGCACGTTGGCATGGCCCTTCTGGTCCATGGAGGGCTGCTCCATCTGACACACACAGGGAGAATAACAAGTCTTATGAATAAATGGATAAACACATATATATGTATATGTACGTGTAAATGTACATATACTGTACATACATTCATAATAACACGTTTAACATTCACAGAGAGACATTGCATATATTTGAACTCATAGAGGGCCGATGCAGAACATCTATTCAAAAAAGAACATGTTGCAGAAACATACATAAATATATATACATCAATTATGCAGTGAATTCTGCATATGCACTGCATTCCGTGAGCAGGGCATATGCATGACATATGATTATTCTAATGTGAAGGCACAGTGTATGCAGACCAGAGCATACAACTAGCCATCATCTATTTATGTGCATTTTAAATCAAATGTTTCTCTGAAAATCTAGAAACTGAAGAAGGGTTTACGTATTAAATCTGCTGATTATAGTCACTGTATATAGTATTAATCCAGCAATGGTCCACCTCCGGCGTAGCGCTCTTATCTCTTCTTAACACACTGCTACTGTCACTAATGCTAATGGTATTCCACTTTTCAAGCAGCTCCCTCTCACTTCCAAACCCGCCGACCACAGCATAACCTTTTAATCTTATGAAGGCTTTTATAGGATTACAATGGGTACACTTTTAGTCAGGGGGTATCAGGAGCAGTGCTATAAAGAGGCAATAAACAGTAACTTTTGAAAATATGTATTTTATGCAAGCTATATTGCAGCAAGACGATACTTGAGACGCATGTAATTGGTTTTAAAAGCTTAAAGGATTACAAAAGTCATGCCCAAATTTGAAAATAGAAAAATAGTGCAATATAATGGATTTAAAGTCTCTATTCTAAAACAACAATTGGACAACATTATTATCATACTAAAGGGATTGAATAGAATTATAAAAAAGGAAGCCCAGGTGTAGCCTCTCATGTGCCGCCATGTCCCAGGGCGGCACGGTGGCTGAGTGGATAGCACTCTCGCCTCTCAACAAGAAGGTCCTGGGTTCGAATCCCGGTTGGACCAGGGCCTTTCTGAGTGGAGTTTGCATGTTCTCCCCGTGTCTGCGTAGGTTTCCTCCGGGTGCTCCGGTTTCCCCTACCACTAAAAATATGTACAATAGGTCTGGCATGTGCCTCCTGTACTGGCACCCCCACTCCCAAAAAAAAAAAAATAACAATTGTAAACCGCTTTGAGACTCCGATGTGCAGTGAAAAGGCGGTATATATAAATAAAGATTACATAAATAAAGATTACATACATGTGTTCTAAACTCACAACAGGTACTGAAGAGTGAGATAATATGTTTTGCTAAATATTTTACTTACATTTTAAAAGTTGTACCAAACTCACACACAAACTAGTCTGAGGTCAATATCGTCTGTAGAAAAAACAGAGATCCACAGAGGTGCCGTAGGAAATAAATGAAACAAAATGGCGGCACTTACAGCAGACTGACTTTTCCTCAGAATACAGAACATGAAAAGTGCGACAAAGACAAAGTGGTGAGGAGGACCTGCACATGGGCTTTGGGAGGGAGGTGGAAGAGTCGAGGGGGAGGAAGAGGAGGGTGGAGAGGAGGCCGATGAGGGGTGTAAATGTGCCCCAGTGACCAGCGGCTGGAGGGGGGCAAGTTGACCTATGGGGCAAACGTCACACACTGGTCAGAGGAGCGTCTTCTGTAACCGTGCAGTGCCATCACCGCAAACAACACAGCAACAATGCACGTTGGGGCTGCACAACCAGGCTAATATTTCTACAATATAATTCACTCCTTACTTTGAGATGTCTGATGAGGCAAATGCTCATGTCTATTTCCAGATTCCTTTCTAGTATTGTCCACAGTATGTTATTAAATGTATTAGGGCTGCATGATTTTGGCATCTATCTAACCATTGTGTTTGTGTGGTCCTTTTTAACATCCTGTATGTTTAAAATGTCTAATTCTGTTTTAGATTTTACATGATATACAATTCCCACACATTTTAACTCACATTTGAGTTTTTTTTTGTAGGAATATTATATTTTACTGCAAAAATTGTAATATATACTGGTGAAATTTGAATTATAATATCCTTGATCGTTCATTTACTGTAATTAACTTTACAGTGTGAAACTATATATGAAAAACTCATTACACACAGTGTGGTTTATAAAAAACCCTTTAATCTGTTATAACTTTGATAATTGGGTCACAGCTTCAAAACCCAAAATTACAGAAATAAGTGAACTTTTGAATGGCTTCGGCGTTATCTCACAATTATTATTATTATTGTTATTTTACAAATTTCTTCTCGTCAGACCTGAGTTACGCCACATAGCCACATATTTGACAGTTTGTAATAATTATGAAATAGATTATGTCTTCTGCCTGACAACAAGACAAAAGATCAACAAATCAAGAGACATTTTTCCAAATTTAAGTGATGTTTTTCTTCACTTTATAATTATTACTAAAGTATTTGTGTTTATAAGAAACCCGCATAACTGTATTCTTTTGCAATGTATTAATTACAACCACTAAAAAGCTGTTCTGAAAAAGCCCTAAAAACATCTGTCTCCCATAACACCACCAGATCTACAGATAGGGGATCCTGCGGACACTAAGAATGCTGGAGGGTAATTCTAAAAGCAAGATGTAATAGTTTAATGTTGTTGAAAAAGAAATAGTCCCCCATTGAAAGACAAAAAGCTAATAAATAATCTTTTTGGCAATTCCTTTAGAGAGGCTCATGTAATTTACAGTATGCAATTGTCAATCCTATTGTGCAACCTCAAAAGTGGCAAAATCACAGCAAGGGCACACACCATTCTGCACATAGCAACAACCGCAACAATAAAAACCCATGGCAACCACTACAAAGTCATCTCTCTGGCAACTAATGGTGAAAGACATTCGTGAACAAGAATAGTCCATGTTGGAGCACATTTATAGAGCGATCCCTGCATGGCAACAACACCCCCCCTATAAGACGCATTCAGCACCACAGCATCACTCAGCAAAACATCCTCCGCCTCCGATTGGGCTTTAATGTTAGAAAAGGCATGAGATCAGTGAGATGAGAAAATGATCCAGGGGAATATCAAACCAGGGGATGCGTAAATCAATGTTTAATAGCAAGCTCCGTCACAATCAACAAGATAAGTGTAAGTATAAGCAGTTTATTTCTACTCTGCCGGAATTCACACGAAATTAGTGTTGTGCTTTATTCGCTATGGTTCTGTGAGTGGGACAGGATAAACTGAGAGTAAGTTTATATGAACCATAGATAAAAGTAGAATATAGTCTCCATTGGTCAAGTGAGTAGACCTGTTGATGATTTAATTAACACTCAAATCTGAAGTGAATGAATAAATGGTTGCATTATAATTCTAATAGCTTTAGTTAATTATTGAATGTAAGTAATGGAAATTTTGTCCTCTGCATTTGACCCATCTTTCAATGCCACGAGGCCCTCTACCAGGAGCCGGGAGCCCTCTTCAGTCCTGGATCTACAGCCTATTCGTACATGGGAGTGGATCTTTCTCTCACTGTGGGCCTTCTTCACTGTGTTTTTAGTTTTTACTTTTTAGCACAAGAGTTAGGGTGACAGTGGACAATAATGATCCATGCTATTCAAGAACATTTACGGACATTGCTTATTCTGCTTCTCAATGGCTCTTTTGTGTTGCATTTTAATTACTTTAACTGGCTCTGCTATAGTCGCTTTTTGATTTTATTGTGCAAAACATATCTTTCACTAATCAACATGTTTGCACACTTCTTTTGCACAACCCGAGTGATACTATTTATGCCGGGTGTGACCATAATAGATCCACGGGTGTGACATGTACATTTCTCCATTGTGAGATCAATAAAGTCTATCTTATCTGATCTTATTTCCTGTGTTTTGTGATAGTTTAATTCTCTAATTGGTTGTTGGTGAATTGACAATTTTGTTAAGTCTTCCGGGACAATGCTGAAAAGGGCTATACAAAAAAAATAAAAACAACAAACATATTTGAATTGCAGAATCCGATGCTCCGGCCCTTCACAGTCGGATTATAATGATGGTGGTGGGGGAACCTGGAAGAAACCATGCAAACTCTGCACAGAAAGGTCAGAGCAGATCCAACCCTCCGCCATCGTCACACGGGATAAAACCCTTAGATGTTGAAAGTGTTTCTCCTTTAGAGACATATCGTCATGTGAGGTGATGCAGAAAGCACATTGGGGCTTTAATGCTCTGCTGCAAGATGGAGTTTATGGCTGGCAGGTGGCAGGAATATTAAGCAAATCCTGCAGCAGCGCACACCACACGCCATTAAGCACACAAAGGAAAGAAAAGACAAAGACAATTAATGGTTAGTATAACAGTAGCCGAGTCAGCAGATTGTGAATAGGCACGTCCCTCGTCCATCATCTCCACAGGCGCCACGACCCCACGCTGCAGAGGCACTTGTTTTCGTATCTTTCCTTCACTAAATTTAGACAGTGACACCATTCCTCAAGAGCAGCCATTTGTCCTGAGTGTGTGCGGTGACGATAGCAGTATGTAATGGGCATAAATCTGGAGTACAGTAACAGTACACCGCTGTGCTGCCGTGGGGAGGCTGCGTTATGGGGACAGCAGCCAGTGTGACTAATTTCAGGTCCGGTCCGGGGTTAATGGGAGGCTGACAGCTTTACAGACACACAGACAGAGTGACGCGGGCTCAGAAAAGAAATGACGAGAGCTTCTAATACAACGATCAGGGCATTCACAAATGTAAAAACACTAATTTCAAAGTGCTGCTTATCAGTTCTGTTTTATGATGTCTCTACACAGACGATGATGATTATTATTTTATATGGCCCATTCCGCCAGTTTTTATTATCTATTTCAGCTTTTAATTCTATCAAGATACAACAACAACGTTTGAGAACAGAATGTCATGTTTAATAAAGTATAAATGGTTCATAATGTAGAAAATCCTAGTTACCCTGACAATTGATTTGCTTGAAGACAAGTTCTATCACTAAAAGATTTTTGCAAGATCTTGATTTGATTGCCACAAGAGGGGGATTTCTCAGTTGTGTATATTCGGTTTGGCAAAAAAAATATAATTTTTTTTTACTTTATGGTCTGCCCATTTTGAAAAACCGAGCTAAGTGGGTGGTGCTCATGCCTCACAGTAAGAAGGTTTCCGCTCTGGCCTTTCTGTGTGGAGTTTGCATGTTCTCTCTGTGTCTGCATAGGGTTACTCCATGTGCTCTGGTTTCCATTTACCACTAAAAACATTGTAAAAATCTTCCAGCGCCGACGGATGGGTTCCAAATCTCCCGACAGCCGCACTAGTGGTATGGAAGGATGGGTCGATAAAGTATACCTTAACCTTAATCAGAATTGAATTGAGGTCAAACATAGATTTACTTTCAACATGACTTTTCTGAAAATAAATACAGCCTTTGAACTTGTTGCAACTCTGTTTAAAAAAAACTAAGGCAATGATGCATTTCACTCCCACCCCTACTGCAAAATTGATGGACTCAAATGTCAACAGACCACCTGCATGTGCTCCTCGTTACATTCTCACACAGACAGAGGAGCTGGGCACGAGTCCTCAGAGCCTGATGCAAACCGCCATCATCCATCAGGCCGCTGTGTGCGAGTGGAGCTGGCAACACTTGAATAACACTTATGCGGCTCCTGCCTCAGCCCACCTGGACCAGGAACCATGCGAGATCATTGTGCAAGACGTCCACACGCAAACACAGTCAAAAACTACGTTAATGAGTTGGGAGGAGATCAAAGAGGATTAATTATGCATAGATTGTGTGTTACGGTGGAGATGGGCTGTGATAAGAATCTGGTTAGGGTTGGAACAGGGCTTTATGGCTTGGTTTTCATTCAAGATGCAAAAAAAACAGCAAAAATCCACCCAACTGTTACAGGACGGCTGGTTATTTTGGAATCACAACAGAATTTGAGCGTGTGGACATTTATTTGTCTAGCTTAAAGCGTCTTATCACTCCAAAAAATGTTGGCTTTCCAAGAATTCTTCAAAGTGACTTATTAGGCAACCATTTCACTCTAATCACATTTTAAGTATTTACAAATAAGATATTATACTTAAACTATACAATATAAGGCTTGTGTTTGTTTATATGTATATTTATCATTTTAATTACTCCTTGGACATGAGCAGATGTTATTCTATAAACATCTAAATCAATTTGAGGATTCTTTATGAGAATTGTGTTGCTTTTACCGGAGATAATCTTGTGTGTTGAGGACTTTGTCTTTGATACTGGTTTAAAACTATTTAGCAGAAATTCTATTCCAAGTATTAGAATCCTAGCAATGTAATGTCGTATCAAAAATTACAAGTGTTGGGAGATAATCTACAAAATGTTTTTAGTAACAGAGCACTGAAAAATGCGCAGAGAGGGCGTGCGTATTTACTAATACTCTTTGTTGCTATAAACTAAACTATAACTAAAAACTGCCTAAATGCAAAGAATAAACTTTATTATATTTACAATAACAAACTAAATTTCACATTGAGAAGCTTCTTTTGGGTAGAATTGAAACTAACACAGACTAAACACTGAACTTGGGTGGATTTTTGTACACACTCTGCACACAGTTTTTTTGCTTACGGATTTGCGGATGTTGACGCGAGGTTTGGGGACGGGTTTGTTGGGCTTGCTGTCGAAGCTCTCGGGCAGCGTGGACGATCCGTGGCCCGTCTTCCTGGCCTGAAGAGCCAGCTGGTAGGCCACCTCGAACGCCTGGCCCAGCGTCAGGATAATCTCATACGCCAAGTTCTGAACGAGGACAGAATGAGGCGGGAAATTAAACTCACAGGCTGTACAGTACTGAATGAGGTAACAATACTGAAAAAGACCATTTGAGCAAGGGTGTGCTAAAAAAACTAATGTGTTGGATACGTTTTTGGATAAATATATAGAAAAAAATTATATATATTTTCAAATTATTTGCTTAATTAAATTATTTTTCTTTCTTAATTCAAATAACACCTCAAAACACATCTGTTCCATCAGAGTTAACCCACCAAGCCTCTGTACATTTTAATATATTTCTGTTCTTTTTTGAATTTTTATTGCATGTAAGGTGGCCTTGAGGGAACTTGGTGGTTTGAAAGGGGCCTAGAAAGAAACATTTTTGTTATTAGATCCGAGCCTCAACAGGGTGTAGGTCCCATAGCTTTCCCAACAAGGAATGCTTTACCCAGACTTTGGTCTCCCAAGGGCAACAGAACGTGCCCATCTACTTATAAACCTCCATTACTCCTGCACACAGTGAACTGAATGGGTTCCTAAGAAAGGGGTGGGCTGGGGGTGATTGATAAATGTGCAATGGCTGCATTCTCCAGCTTGAACCCTTTAAAATAATGCATCATTAGGGGTGTAAGTTGCCATGGAAGCTTATTTACAAGCCTTTTTCTATGCGTTACCACTATTTGCATGCAATCTCTTTTCCGGTGGAGTCCTGGCCCCAGAGAGAGGGGTTGGTGTTCATAAAAAAAATTATTATTTGGTTTATTATGAATGTTGGCACCATCATAGTTATCTGGTGCATTCTTAACCATTTGCATTATCCTTTGAAGCCTTCCTGTGTCAAAGTGAGGTACTGACCACATCAAAAGCAGTGAACACGTGGCAGTAGTGGTGGCTGGACTTGAGGTCTTTGGTGATATAGGCAAACGTGGACAAATCGTCTGGATCCTGAGCGGCGCAGGAGATGTTGCGGATCTCGTGCTCTGCGATAATGTTCTGGAGGAAGAAGCAAAAATGAAGATCAGCGGGAAAAAAAGATTATTGGACATATGAAGGAAATTGGAAAGCTGCAGCGATAGATCTAATCTATTTCATGGAGAACAAATACCGTGTTCCATTATTCATCTCATTTCACACATGTCAAAACTGTAATCACTTTCCCCATATTGGTCAGACTCGGTCGGAATTTATCCTCGGGTAACGTCACCAGAGAGCAGTTTGTATTGCATTAATTGAAGCTCGGAATCTAATATCAACAAATGCCCTGTAAGGACTCGCGACAATCATCTGAGGCAATGTTTTGAGAATAGTCTGTATTTTTTTTTATAACAAATGCACAGCAAAGCCAACATGTCTGACTCTACAGAGAATAAAAACCTATATTCACATTCACAGCAAATTCAATGAGCTAAGAAAGAAAATACTGCACAATAAGGATGTTCTCATATGAGCTCATCTTTTTGTCCTGATTGTGGCATCCACGTTATTTTTTTTAACGTTCTATTGATTTTTGCGCAATGAATTTAAGAGGCGGGCGTGAGCAGAGGAGACATTCACTCATGATGCTGACGAGGCCTGATTCACACAGAGGTCTCAGCGCTTCACGTCCAAAATCATGACCTTTTCTGTCTTATTTATGGCAGGAGCAGAGGAGCAGACGGGCTGGGAGCCATACCTTATTTGTGGCGTCAATGAACTTCACTCCTTTGTAGGACACGGAGAGAATGATGGTGGGGACTTTCTTCATCTGTTCCGTCGACTTCTTGGAGAGCACAAACAAAGACAGAAACAGACATCGTTTTACAAAAGGTGTACAAAATGCAGAGAATAATTTTTTTGTCTTTGGATCATGTCCATATTAACTTTGTAGTATAGTTGTGAAAATCAAAGTGCTTTCCTTTATGTACTCGCCAACATTGGAACAGGTTTGACTAAAGACATGGTCAAAGTGCTTCATTGTGTTGATAAATGCTTTTGAAATAGTATCTTGATAGTTTGCACAGACAACAGTGAGCCTTCAAACTTCAAAGAGGAACTGCGGGCTCCTGCTGTGGGCATGATTTCAGAGGCATGGAGTGAACCTGGCAGCTCTATACAACATTCACAGGTTGAGTTCAAAATCTCTCTTGGAAAAATCAGAAAAGCAGAAACTGGCCTCGACAAAGTCCTCAAGTCCTGATTGATATGTACAAGCCGAAAAGACAGAAAAGTATTGCTATAGACATCTGCATTAAAAATATTCAAAAAGGCACATTGCATTTAAGCAAGGGTTGCATGTTGTAACTGGTAACAATTTAGCATTCTACATGGAGAAAGACCAGCAGATATCTCCACATCTAGTAAATGTGTTTGTTAGTGTACATTTTCTGTATCTGGACTTTTAAAAGTTATAACTAAAAAACTGAAATTACTATCATAGACTAGAAATAAGACATATCAAAAAGATATTGTGGACAACATTTGCTAACACTGAATCTCTTCATAGCTGTCTGCAACGGCACATCAACACTTTAACAAAACCAAACCGCCATTGAAGAGACTCCAGCCTGATAATTCAACATCATATTGTGAATACATTACATCTGAAACACAACAAATTATTCTTGATAAAAATATAATTTACTGTACCCACGGTGTGTACACAGTAAATAAGCCGTATGACTAAATAACTTCTCAGCATACAATTGTGACACATTCTCAGTTATTACGAAGTGCAATCATGAGTGTGATTTGCTGTGGCATCAGTGTCACGCTGCTATCTGTCAAAACCTGTTAAAAGTTAAAAAAGAGCGTCTCATTTTCACTTCTGGTCTTTTGCAATGTGATTGTAACTAAGTGGGTCCTTTTTCACCCCTTGTCAACTGGCTTCTTTTCATGCAGACTGGTTTTAAGCGTTGGATCTTTGAGGGCCTCGTAAGCTGTCAGAACCAGGTTGGGCTGAAAAGCTGACAAAGGCATCGCTGCACATCCGCGGCTTGAGGCTGTGTTGAGATTCTCGTCGTGGTGGGGAAGATAAAAGCGTGAAGGTATGGGAGAGACATCAACACTCCCCGAAAGTTGATCTGGTGCATGTAATCACAACAGCCCAGCGCCGCAAAGGTGTTTTAAATTATACAGGCTGAGATGACAGATGCCTTGTGATGTGACAGCATAAACAAAGACAGGAGAAAGGAGGGGAGCTGATAGAACGGGGAGGTCTCGCTGATGAATACTAAAAAACACTGCAGCAGCTCCACAGTAACAGATCGGATTGGAAACCCCATGTGAATGAATCGCCGCAGACACGAAGGGAATCTGAGGTGAAGGGGGAGACATCCAAACACTTATCTACAAGATTATTAATGCACTAAGAGGTATAATTATCAAGGGCTGAAGTTGACTTAAGGAAATTAGTTGACTGGATACATACACAGTGGATCGCTTCAGTCACTAAAAATCTCTCCAAACTGTGTATTATTGTGTATCTAACCTATAACATCCTCAAGAAACTTAAAAAATAAGAACAAACTATTGCGGCTGGTGCCCAGGACTAAAAATGGGGAAGCTGCATTTCAGATTCATGCTGCTAAAATCTGGAACAATCTTCTTGAAAGTGTGAGACAGGCCTCTTCTCTGACAAAGTTTAAAACCAGGTTGAAAACATTTCTGTTTAGCAGTGCATACAACTGAGGGATTTTATATTTTTATCTTTCTCTTTAATGTACTGTCTCATTTGGTTCAGCCCTTTGAGTTGCCTTGAGTATGAATTGTGCTGTACAAATAAACTTGCCTTGCTATGAATAAAGTATTATGAATAAAGTTATGCTATGAATAAAGTATTGTCGGGAACGGAGAGACAATTCTGGCTTGTAAGTCAAAGTCTTCTGCTGATTTTCTCCATATTGTATGATTTTTGCTTTTATTCCCCATAAAAAATGTAGGTAAAGTATATTTGGTCGACTAATGCCATTTTTGATCGACTAAGAAATTCAGATAAACACGTACATGGTTGCACAAAGTTGGATGGCCATAGCTTTTCTGATAGCAGCTGCAAAATTGTAGTTCTCTATGTTAATTTAATGTTCAAATAAAACATACCAATAAACTTGCTTTGCCTAAGTCAGGTGTTAACAAATAATAAAATCTCCCAAAATACATGATTCTGCAGTAGTGATGTGTTTTGTTAAATTACCGGTATGCATAATATAGTTTTGTCAGCTAATTTATTGTTAAATTCCAAACAGTAAAAAGTAAGTGACTTTAACCCCAGTGTTCTTAGATGCTGGAATAAGTGTGTTAAGTTTACCCTCATTTTGGCGCAGGCGTCTTGCGTTGACTCCGTTCCTCTCAGCTCTTTTACCAACATGGATCCCAGGTACTGTCAAATAGAGCACAGAAAAGCTTGTCAACAACACACCAAAAAGTGACTTGTTTAATTATATAAATTCACTCGGATTAAAAAGATCTAATATTACAATCAAAGTTAAGGTCTAAATGGACTGTAAAATGTGTATGCTTAGGAAGCCCTCCACAGTCCACCTTCTAATATTTCTAATTTAATTGCGCTTGAACAGATTCACAACCTCAGATCCTCAGACCTCAAGCTTCTTCCTGTTCTCTGTTTGAGCCTGAAGGTGGGAGAAGCACTTACTCCCATCTTGCTCCTTGTAAATGGAATGATATGCCAAATAAAATTAAAAGCTCCGTCTCCATCTCATTATGTCCTCACCATTGTGAGGACCATTGTCCTCTATGACAATGTTCAAATCGAGGTTAAAAACAGTTCTTTTTAGCTGTGCAAACAATTGAGGGAACTTATCTTTACTCTTTTTAATGTACTGTGATTTTTTATGATTTTAATGACTGCCGCCATCTTGTTTTGTTCAGCACTTTGAGTTGCCTTGTGTATGAATTGTGCTATACCAATAAACTTGCCTTGCCTATTGTTCCACTTTTGTTACACAGCCTTTGTAGAGCACATTCAGTTCCTATGGCCTATATGTATGTATGTATGTATGTACAGTATGTATGTATCTATGTAGGTACTGTATGTATATAAGCACAATTTCATCAAATACTTGGGCACTGGACAAAAAGAGCATGACGAGACTCCAGCTCAAAGTCAAAGCTTTCAGGAGGACTCTGTGCCGTCCCTCTCAGCCTCCTCCACAGTGACATAATTCCTCACTTTGTCTAGTACGAAAGAACACCAAACGACGTCGGAGAAATCCAAGTCCAGTTTCACGAGAATAAAAATCCCTGGTCGCATTATGAGCGCAATTGTTCTGAAGTTATACCAGATTTTTGTTATTGTTCGCTTACATAATGTGAGTGACAAGGAGTGGGATTCAACACTGCATAATCTCCAGACCTGCCAAGATGTTATTTTTATGTTCTTTTTTGTTTGTCTGAGAAAAGGGAATGCCAAGGGTAACTTGTTTACCTTTTGGCATGAATTTACTTTTGCGCATCGAATCGAATGTGAAGGTATTTCCAAGATATTTTAGTAGTAAGTAATCTTTATTCATATAGTTTTTTCCCAGACAGTCACAAAACGCTTTACAATTGTTGTCTCCCTGTGTGGAGTGAGAGGAAAAATGTGCATGCCAGACATATTGCACAAGTTATTAGTGGTAGAGGAAACTGGAACACTAGGAGGAAAACCTACAGTACACAGACACAGGGAGAACATTCAAACTCCTGTCTGGAGGTGGGATGGAACCAAGGACCAACTGTGAAGCACAAGCACCAACTGTCCGACAGTGCGATTGATTTTGAAACATTACAATAATCCAATATGCATTAATGTAGGGATTATAAAACAACTAAGTTTATTATAAAAAGTGTGATTGACATGAGCACCAGTAACCAACTATAGGTTTCGTTCATGTTCTAGAATTCTATTTCAATTGGATGGCGGCAGATGCCAATACAAGTCTATGGGAAAGGATCATTTCCCATTTTCAAAACACAACATACTATATGTATTGTATGTTTCTTTTAACTACGGGCTGTATTGTATTGTATTGTGTCCTTAATAAAAATTAATAATAATATAAATAAAGAAAATAGCAGCACAAATGGCTTTATACATACAGAATATGATCTTAATTGACTTTTATATTTTACATTACCTATCTTTCATTCATAATTGCATTAAACATTATACATTTTTTGTATATGAATTGTATTGTATTCTGTGTTTTAATGGTTCTTTTGAAGGACTTTGAATGTGCTTTGTATAAATTGTGGAATAAAAAAAAAACCTTGATTGCATAAGTGACATGTTAGTGCCAAATGAACCAACTCGGACCCTGAGCAGCACAGGGACTGGACTCCTGCTGGCCTCCTGCGTGTGCATTTCAGATTCACACAGCTAAAATCTGTAAAAGTCTTCCTGAAAATGTAAGACAGGCTTCTTCTCTGACAATGTTCAAATCCAGGTTAAAAACGGTTCTGTTTAGCTGTGCATACAACTGAGGGATTTTATCTTCACTCTTTTTAATGTACTGGAATTATTTATGTGTGACTGTTTCTTGTTTTGTTCAGAACTTTGAGTTGTCCTCTGTATGAATTTTGCTGTAAAAATAAACTTGCTTTGATAGAACTTTGTCCGGATATTTTTCCAGATCATTATTTGATAGTAATTAGATTCACAAACTTTCCATATAATTCTTATGTCATCAAAGTATTTTCTACTGATTAACATTCCGTATATGTTTTGTGAATGACAGCACCGTCACCACTTTTGGACACCTTAGGATTTACAATTACATAATTATACCATAGTCAACACTGTATGTGATGAAAAAGAAGACGGGAACTTTGTGACAGTTTTTGTTGATCTGTGGAATGATGTGATGTCGCATAAACACAACCTCTTACCTCGCTAGAACACCAGTTAGAAAATGTAATGGTAAAGTGTCTACTGTAAAGAGAGTTTTTAGGTTTAAATTAACAATTCATCACATTTATATTAACCACTATTCCCTGCGCTCCAGTCCTTGCAATAAGCCCACAGCGGAGGTGCATTAAAAGCGACTTGGTGCAACTTTGTGGTCAGAGATTCCTCTAATGTCACCTTTAATTAAATTAAAGTGTTTCTCATTGTGACTTGATGGGACGTTCTTACATCATAGCACTTAGCAGCGGTGACATTACACACCTTGGTTGGCCTCCTGTTGCATTACCAAATCCCTATTCACTTAAGTATGTCCCCTAACAAGACTTTTAGTGGATTAGGGCTCACATTTTTTTATAGATTGTTATGTATGACGTTGTAGTAACTCAATTGAAATGCTCTGCTTCTTTGGGACAGTGGATATATTTGATTATCCAGACAAAACAACCCAGACATGATGAGTTGCACTGCAGCGGCACAAACATTACTCATGTTTAAAGCCGGTGCGTCTGGTCCTTGGAGTTTATGATGGAGGGCGTCATTGCTTAATGCATCAAGCTCACCCAACAATATTATTCAGACGGCGCTTCTATGCTCAAATTGGACTACTTTTCCAATAACCTGTTTTTTATTGACCTGTCTTCTATTGTTCTCAAAAAGGTGTGAGCATAGTTTAGGAAATTGCTTGCATCACTTATGTTAAAAAATGCCTTTGTGGCTATTAGCGATACGATTGTGTGGTGAGATTGTCAGCTGTAAGTTATGTACTAAATGTGGAAATGGAAGTAGGAGGTCTGCTAGGTCGTATGGGAAACAGGTTTGTAATAGCTGGAGATAATATTGTAGAGTTCAGCCAGTAGAAGTGCATAATGGAGTTAAATAACCCCATCCAAACATAATTGCTTTTTCCCCTGTGCTTTTTGCTTTATTAAATCTCACTTTCTCTGATGACTTCAGTATCAAAAGACACTTTCTGTTACATTTGTCTTTTTTTTAACTTACCATCTCTTGCCAATTTTCACATTAGCACACTTGGTCTACTCTTTTCTGTTGGAGCTCCGACTCACTTTTCATATTCTTATGAGAATCTGATTCTGATCGACTTGGATGGTGTTATTCCCCACTTGGAGAGGAAATATGTATCATATCTATTATTATGATTACAATGATGGGGTTATCTTTACACACATCTGACTTGTAATCTTACTTCACTCAATGGATTTTCATAATGTGGACCGTTTCCAACAAAACAACTACTCCCAAGTAACAAATGCCAGTAACATCCGCCTTACTACACACCTTGCAACACATATTTTAGATTAGACTCTTTTTGCGAATATCAAAGATTGCAGGGATGCATCACGCTCTCCAGTTGTAGATCTAAATTCACTGATCAAGAGGAAAAAATATCTGACGAAGGCATTGTGGCCGAAACTTCATACAAATGAATAATTTACATCTGCAACTTGAGAGTGCTATGCTACATTTAAAATATTTTAGTAGAGGACATATTGACATTTTCTTTTTGAATTGATATTTTGTAATAGTCAGAGACCCAGACATTTTAAACAGAAGCATAAAACAACTTCAAAATCTTCAATAAACAAGATAAAAATGCATCAATAAGCCAATAGGTACATACATTGTGTCTTATGTACTGCTTAGTGGCACCAGCTTGACACTTACATAGGCCTCATAGTCACAGGACTGGAAGATGAGTTTCTCTGGGTGATGTTGCCAGTACTGCACCGGAGTGGATGACGTGGCCTCATTTGGTGGACGCAACGTGATTGGCTCACACCATTCCCCAGCCTGCGACGACAAGCAATTTCACATGAGTACATACGATTACAAGAAGGAACATAGGGGATGATGGCCCAGACTTGGAAAAAACATAACTTATTGGCAAAAAGCATGTAAAACCAGCTTTCACTCTGCAGAACATCAGAAAGGAGATCAAATATGTTGAATAACGAGAGCGATTATTCAGTTATTGAGGTTTAGCTCATAAGCTTTTTTCTGCACATTTGGAATATTTGAGGATCACACTAGTATGCCTCCTCATTCTTTAGTAAATTGAACCAGATGATATATGGGAGAAGTTTGCTTGCATGCAGAGCTGAAGCCTGTGTATGTTTCTGATCTTTGCCAGAAACACAGCATGGGGCCTGGAGAAGAGATCTTAAATGCAAACATGGATAAACAGCTTAGCCAAAAGCCTTTAGAGAGATGGATAGAGGATACAATTTTCGATCTTCTGAATCTGACCAGCTTATAATAATATTACTTTATCTCTTCCCATAACCTCTAACCTCTGAGAGCTCTCTGGAAGGTTTCAGAGTTAAACTTTTAATGAACTAGATCTGTAGTTCTTAAACTGAGGTATAGGTCCTACACTTGTAGACTTGAACGTAGCCTTCTACAGTATGTTTTAGGATGAAAACATATTGTAGAGTGTAATCTTGTGTTCACTTCATTTAGTTTTCAAATTTACCCTCTTCTGTAAATGATGACTTGAGCCTGTTTTCACGCGTTAGATGCAGTTGCACCAGACGGTAAAACAATCGTGTTGGTCTCACCATCTTTGGTTTATTCAAAAGTACAGCCGTTATTATATTACTTAGCTGTGAGGGAGCATTAGAGCACCCCTCGTGTCCAAACCATGTATTACTCAAATCATATCTAATTACTATCATGTTGTACATTTTATAAATCAAATGCAATATTAATTATGAAATGACAATTATGTAAATACTGTAAACATTTTTTCAGAACTTGAATGTGAAACAGACAAAAGAGTCCTGAAATTCTCTAAGAGATAGGGGACTACTAATATCAAGAGCCAACATGTATAATAACAAAAATAGAAAGAATTGTTTGTGGGAAGCTACTGTAGGTTGCTGTATAGACATTCTGTTACTTTGGGCACCCATTTCAACAGAAACTAGAGGCACATATAGCACAACTGATAGATCCAGAAACAGGTAAAGGGGGAGTTTTCACCCAAAAAAAAGTATTTCATTCATTAATTGTTGCCCTAATCTGCCGGTGCTGACTCACACAACAATGTCATGGTTATTGTAAGAGAGTGGGGGTATCACTGGGAACGCTGCACTGAGGAGATGCGGAGGATAAGTGGGTGTTTGCTGGTGCTGATAACACATCTCTGATTTACAGCAAGACACAAAAGGGGCCTCATCATAAGGAATCACAACACAGCTGGTGCCGCGAGTGTGCATGTGCCAACGTCTGAGGAAGTGAGAGTTATTCTGGAGGCTCTGATTGGAAGTCATAGATCTAATTTTGTGCTGGTAACAAGGATAAAATTGGCCATGTGAATAAGGAGCTTATGCAGAAGTATACCAGTTGTTGAGAAAACATTTTTCACCACGATGGGTTGGGGTAATTTAGAGGGTTTCAGCTTTTGGGAATTGAGAAAGCAGCATGTGTTTGCAGATACAGTGGTCCCTCACTAAAACACGGTTCACCTTTCTGTTTCGAGGATTTGTTTGTGAGCAATTTTGTGGACTTCACATGCTCCAACAACACATACAACATAATAGTAGAACGTGACAGTTACCTTTTTAAGAAAATGTTTGTGGCACTGCTGTGAATAGTTCATTTGATAATTTGCTTAAAACACGATAAAACAATATTAACAAATAAGACAATCCCAATATATATTTGCTTCTCAAATAAGGGAAAAACGTGAAATATTATTAATAATGCTTCGATTTTATAAAGCGTTTTTTGGACAACCAAAGAGGCTTCACATGTCATTATTCTTTCACTCCATACACAGTGATGATAAACTACTACTGCAGCCACAGCTGCCCTGGGGCCCTCAAACCGTGGGACGATGACAATCTTGAATAGATTTTGTATCAAAGTCAGGTGCAAGTACAGTCTTTCAAATGGAGGAAGCTGATTACAATTACAAAAGACTTTTGTAGTCATTTCAAATTAGTTTTATATTTAACCTTGATTTTGCTATTTTGAAATTTGTCATGCTATATATTTTTATAAGCAGGTTGATAGGTGTCCTACCCCCATAAAAAACTATTACAATGTTACCCTTTGTTCTGTCTAATGCCCATCACATTACCCAAGCACAAACAAGATATTTTGTTAAGTTTATTTTGAATGTTGTGGCATGAGTAACCCATTCATAATCCTTCATTCATCCTGGCCTCACCATGCTGACTTGTGCCATCTGCCGCTCCAGCTTGGATCGCGGCACGTCTTCGAAGTAGTTGTCATTGCTGCGCTGCCGGCGGCGAGCATCGGCTTGCATGATGAGGTGCTGCACGTCCAGAGATCCGCCTGGGACCCCCGCGGTGTATGCGACCTGTCCCACCGACGGGCTCAGCTGTGGAGGAGTGTGGTTCCCTACGGGCTCCTGCCAGACGGGACGAGGGAAACAAGGAGGTTAGAGAAGAGTGCGAGAGAGCGTTCATTCATCACATCATAACGCACTGTGTCACTGCTGCACGAGGAGGACAATTACGCTGCTTTGAATTGTCAAATGTTATCTCTGAAGCAAGCAACTCCAGTCTTCTATTCTATTACAACTGCAATTTTAAGTCTTGTAATAAAAGCTAAATTCTTCCATGCAAGAAGTATATTGAATTGGTTATGACAATTAATTTGATTGGAGTTAGCAAGAGGAAGTATATAATCCAAGCTTTTGAATCAAGACTCAGGGCTGACGTTTTTTTCATAAACATTACTATTTGTTTAAAATATATTACTTATTATTTAATAAGACCACAACGTTGTTACCTTTTGCATACTTATCCTGCATACTAAGAATAAGTCCTATTAGTCACTATTTGATGCTATGGATAGAGAGCGGACTTCTTTTTGATTAAGAAAGTTGATCTACAGCAGGGACATAGAACAATAAATACATTGAAAAATGTATTTATTGGTCATGTGAAAACTAGTGAACCAAACTGTTTTCGGGAGTGAAGATAAAGTTAGATAGTGTTTAGTACATGGCTACAGTTAAATAGTGTGCGGTTCGAAACCAAGGTAGCTTTAAATAAACTAAATGAACCAGGTCTACAACAGCTATGCAAATAATATACAGTATATCCTACTTTCAGCGCAAAATGGCTCCTAATCTTGATTCCCCTAAGGCCCGGAAGGATTTTTAATATTCTATGTGGAAAGTAAAGGAAATCATATGGGGGAAAAACACACACTCTTTCCCATTAGTATTCAGGACCAATTTGCAAGTTGTAAAGCAGGTTGTTTTACCATCGTCTTAATTAGTTGTCCCGGAAACAAGCACAAGTCACATCGAATGCTCCCGATATGTCGACTCATCATTTCTGTTTATTTAATGAAATTGAGTGCTTACTCTTAGGGAGATGGCCCTTGGAGGCTTTTGTGGCGTGTCGTCGTGTAACCGATCTCCCAACGAGGCCAGAATACGCTTTCGATGTCCAATCAAGCTGATCTTTAATACCTGCAAACACATAAGAATATACGGTTTTAAAACAGTTACAAAAATCACTCTGAAATGTGCCTTTATTGCATTATTAGGCTACTGCATTACATCTAAGTCTGGGCTAAAATGGCAGAAATGTTAACATATTATCGTGCATTGTTGTGATTACATGAATAAGACAGACCACTTCAGAGAAAAATATGCTTGCTCTATGGCGAGGACAGCCGGCGATAATGAGAGCCTAATGATATAAAATGCCCTGCAGCAGATGCATACATCATGTAATTATTTTTATTACATAACAGCTCTATAATGGACACGCTTCGTTTGAATCAAATCAGAGGAGAATACAACTATCCTATGTGTCCAAAACAACACGCAAATCCACAAAACATGACATCCAACAAGATAATTGGATTTATTACCTATTCTACTCTTAGTACTTTATTATTATTAAAGAAGATTGACAAGGACAGCAAGTGTGATAAAAAACGTGAGCACCCTTTTAAAAGGGGCTGGGTATTATTCACACACAATATTCAAGACATTGCTATCAATACACATGAAACTAAATGTATAATCACTGCATTGTTGTGTTTCCATATGACTTTGAAAAGCCTTATATAAATATGCCCTACAGTATACCTTATAATATTATAAAATTGTTCTCCTTTTTTAAATGTATTAACAATTATTAAAAATTGTGCACCTGTAACTACAAGATAAAGAGACAATCCCTACCTCTGCATTATATAGTACACATTAATATCAATAATCTGATTTTTTCCTATGCAGCAGTCAATACTACTTTAGAATACAGTTTTATAAAGCTTTAATATCAGTACAGTCTAACTTTTTATATGAAGCCCATTTTGTATCAGATCCATACAACATACTTCTCAGCAGATTTATTCATATTATCTTTAACCAACTGAGTACAAAAAGTTTGGTCACCCGAGACCGAACCAACTACATATCTTTGAAGTTGGATGCCACATATTGATAGGACATTAGACAGTGAGAAGGTTGGTTGTATTCATTCCACTAACAACAATCAAATGGAACAATATGGAATCGTAGACACGTGGTAATGGCCTATTGATTTCCCCTGAGTGCTCATTTTGCACAGTTAGCCACAAACACATCTCTACTTGGACCCGAATGAAAGCATTCATTCTTCTTCTGCACGGTCACCAGGCGTCCGCAGACTGTGCCAGTGACAGGATTCACTAAGGAGATGAGCAGCAACACGGCAGCGATTTGCAGTTTGTAACTTCTCCGGAGAATACAACTGCAGCTCTATGAGGCCGTTCTTAGGGCAAATCATTGACAATTAGACACGACTGAATCTTGAAAGCATCTCAATTAACACAGCCCATGCTAAAGGTATTTGCTGCTTGTGTGTTGAGAGCGTGTCTTGAGGGTAAAAGGTGGTAATTAGCCCCAGCGTGCGCGGCCTGCTGTGAATATAATGATTCCCCCAAACAACAGTCCTGCTTGGAGTCAGCACAACTCTCCCAGTCCCGAGACGCTTCGTGCACTACACACAGTTTATCATTGTGCTCATCAATGGCTGACCCACATTCAAGACAGAGGCTGAATGTGTTATTCCTATGTGCGCAAAACAAAAATTACCATTATATCTGTAAGTAGGTTGCACTTTTCAGGATTTATGACAATTTCAGTGTTTTGCATTGAAACACAGTGTAAATACATATTACAGTACTTACTTACTCAGGCTTATAGAATGTTGTTAATTATATGATTTGCTGTATTGTATATCTGAAATTGTATTATACCATAGACCAGGGGTGTCAAACCGGTCCTCAAAGGGCCAATGTAGCTGCAGGTTTTAGTTCCAACCTGAGCAGGAGCACACCAGACTCCACCCATTTCCTCAGGTGAGTCCAGTTTTAACCTGAAGATTTGAAGAAAACTGCAGCCACACCGGACCTTTCTGGAACCGCTTTGACACCCCTGCCATAGACTGTATATATATATATAAGGATAATGCCACCCCCCTAGCTCAATGAAGCCAAACAGGAATGGGCTCAAGGACTAAGTTTTGTTCCTTCTTGCTTTGTAAAGTTGACATTTTAAAGTAAACTCTCAATCTGTGGTTAGGGTCTCTCTATCATCCTGGAGTTTAAGATAAATCCAGATATGAGCCATTAAAGAATTGACCAATCAGATGTCTTCATTCGTGGGGAAAACTCCAGCTTGTCTTAGCAACCATCTTAGCAACATGTCTGCCCCTGAAGCTAACGTTGTACGTACAACTGCCGATATAAGGAAATTGGTTTAAGCTAGCTTATGTTCAAATCGACTTCTTCTGCATTCGAGAAACACAATGGGTGATGTCAGCACTCGATCAGCAGTTTATGGTTTATCCAAAGCTTATAATACAAGTAACATAAAACAAATTCAATAATTTCTGAAACAAGATAGGCTGTCTTTGGGAGTACAGTAAATGCTATTGTTATAAGTATGTTCCTAATATCAATAATGCTAAAATTGGGTGGATCAAAGCCGAGCTAGTGCTGCGTTGAGCTAATGCAACATTATGGCTGCCCTGTGCCCCCTTAAGCCCTGTTAGAGATTTCTACACTTCTGAAAGCTTTATAAGTTCCCTCTCCTCAATTTCAATTACACAAAATGCCTTCTAGTTAGCCCAAAGATTAACGGGCACAGACAAGATTTCAGAAGGCCTTAAGAGTTACACTTTTCTGGTGATTATTTTCTGTTCTAATCACTTTCTGAAACACATTTCAGAAAGTGCAACATATTGTTTGGAGTTCATGGGTCAACTTTACCCACTTGATTTATGCCAGTCCAGTTATAAAATACCACATGTAGTATATGCCATAGATGGTGATTGTAGTTTATTATTACTAACAGTAACGGTTGCATGACTGGTGTTGAAATGTTATGTCAAACCAGGACAGCAGAGGGAAGGGGTTGCCAGGTTTTTAGACCTGTGCCGTTCAAAGGTGGGGAAAGCAAGAGGCGGTAACTCCACACCTAGTGCTGGGGGGCGTGTTCAACAACGCGACAGACCATCCCTGTGCAGCACCATACAACTTCAAGTTCAGTCTTGCTTAGTTAAATATTATAATAACAACAAAGAAATGTGCCAACAGGAGTTCGTCACTGCGGTTTGTGGATTAATTCTTTTTTTGAGGTGCCTGTTCGCATTATCATGTTTTCAAATGTACAATAAAGAATCCAGAAGAACGCACCGTTAATCTTACAATTGCAGCTCACGGATGTCATTGTTATGCGTTTTAAGATATCACTGTTGTTTAGTGTGTAAGGAAGAGTCGACCTGGTGTTTTTACTCAGTGTGAATGAGCCTTCGGTGGACGCCCTCAACACCCATCACGATATGACAAAAAACCTTTAATTCATGTATTGCTTAAGAGTGTGTGTCTATAAATCAGTTAAGACCTAGCAGGAGAAACACAGCATTACACAACATAGATCTTTAATAATTCAACACAGTTCAGATGTTTTCTGCTTGACCTAGACGGTGACTTTTGCAGTAAAAATGTTGAAATATTTAGTCGGCCTCAAGAGCGAGCGCACGGCCGCAGAGTGGATGTGGGCCATACCTGCCTGAGTAAGAGGTCATTGTATAATTCTTGTTTGTGTGTACACTTTACCTTACGCAACGGTGACTACTTTAACTACAGTATGAGCCTAACCTCAGCTTCAGGTTCAGCTGTGACCATGGTAACGCAGCATGCACCCACACACACTCCAAAAACAGGACCGTGGACACTCAAACACACGACGGGGCTGGAGGAACATTATGCCTCGCTATTCTTCAATGGGCAAAGAATGGATGTAACTTTACAAATATTATTACACAGTTGTGCGTGTCTTGCATGGCCTTCAGTGTAAATATCAAAGAGATATTTTAAGTGAAATTATAAGGCATGTTTGGCAGAGCCTTGTCCCATCACCTGGACATCCTCAGCTGCTGCGCTCACATTAGTTCCGCTTCTACTTAAATCCATATGCCAAGCAGAGATTATGTAATATCACCTCTTCAACACTGCTTGTGTGCAGTAAAGAAAAAGCCAGACTAAATCATTTAGCAAGTCTGAAGCTGACAACTACAAAAATAAATCACCTCTGTGTATAATCATCAACATTCATGACCAGATTACGAGACCTCAGAAAGTAAACAAGGAACAAATGACAACATTTTGGAAATAATTTGGATCTAGTTTGTGTGTGTGCACTGTATTGGTAATTCAAATGCAATTACTGTGTGTCATTAGGCAATCAAATAATCAGCAGATCCATAACAAAAGCAAAAGCATTCTAACATACTGAATGTGTAGAAATATAGTCATTTGTTGCTGCTGCTCTACTCTGTAATGTGGCGCCACAGACCAGCTGTCTGTCTAGAGGTTACAAACTGGCTTTATATAATTGCATTATTGAGTGATTTGGAGCTGGTTTTGTGCACTTTGTATCTGTATCTGTGTAAATGTGAGGCCTCAGAGATCAATGCTATAATACGGTTAACAGTCCTTTAAGCCCATACCGAGGAGCCAGATTAACAAATCTGCTACAAAATTCAGTCAACAAAGCCTTTCTATTTGCTTTAGACAGATACAGGGATACTTTATGAGCTTATTTAAAGCAATGTGTATTAGATATTGTGTGTTTGTTCATTACAAGGCGCCACACTACTTAATCTATTGTGTTCATGACACATACAATTTCACTATCCACACCAGACATGGCCAATCAAAAAAAACTGACCAATCATATGCTTTCTGTCCCTGATTTTGAATTCAGATAGCAAAAAGAACAAGACCAGCGCAGCTTCTGATTGGCTCTTTGGTTGCTAGGTTGTTGCCACCCACATATTTTACTCCAGATACACTCACTTTTGCTGTGCTGGTCTTTCACATATTATGTCAATCAAATATTGTCATGTTTGTATTTGTGAGACATAATATGGAGTTCCTAAAAGTATATGAATATTTTTTCAAGGCCCTATA